GCAGGAATTCCCATTGCTATGTCCAAAGCAATCCAAAAGTCCTTTTTGTCTTTCCCTCACCTTTTTGTACTTCCCCAGCCAATGAGGTACAAGAGTATTTATAAATGGGAGGAGCCAGCACAGCAGAGTAGCCACTTACCAGGAAGCCCAGGAAGAGGAGGAGGATAAAACCAATCAGTACGGCAAGGCAGATGAGGATTATCTCCCAGTATGATAACTCTGGAAGGACAAAAGGACACATTACAGATCTTTGAGACTGCAGTCATTTTGGTCCAAGGCATAAGATGCCAAGCCAAATCTACAGCCCCGTTAAAAGGGTGCTGTTCAGCACAGAGGAGTTGTGAAAATGAAGGAAGGGGGGAAATCTGGGCTTCTCTGACTGCAGTTTAGATCGATCACAAGAGCTCTTAGCACTGGATTGATACGCAAGGGGCCTGTGGGAAATGTGGTCAGGATCCCAACCAGGTTTCTAGGGCAAAAATGCTGGCATCAAACTGATGCCAACTGGTTCCTGTGTTGGCAAATTGCAGACAACAGACCAAAGATTCAACAGCTCCTGGAAAACTCTGTCACTAATTGGACCTCTCTAGAAGTGTGAGATGGATGGTGGTATTGGTGAAGCATGTACTTCTGCTACCCAGGGATGGATCCGATGGCACGGTCGCACCCCACTTCGGTTGCATGAATGCGACTTCTTGGGGCAGGGCCTTCCCGGAGCCCCTGCTTTCACGTGCCTCACGATCCCAGGGGATGGGAGCCCCGTAGGCTGGCTGCCAGGGCACCAGAGGCCAGATCTAGCCTGCGAGTCAAGGGTTGAGCACCCCTGGTTTGACAGATAAGCCGTAGAGCTGCAGTGAATGATGTGAGAGTTTCCCATCGCTTTTTGTACAGACGTGCTGTGGCCCGGCTCGCCACCCTCTTATGTTTTGTGCAAAATTGCAGTGCTTAAGTTGTATTAGCACAAGATGCCTGGAAAAAACTTTCTTGAGTTGTATCCTCATTGTTTGATGTTCATGTGTGACCTCCTATAGGCAGAATGGCTTTCCTGCCATTGGCGTGCACTGGCTGTCTGCGGGGAGACCCAGCTTGCCATCAAATCAATCTCTGTGTATATTGTGTATTTAACTCTGCCTGGCTCTAAGTACGTTCAGCAGCTTTAATGCAAATCCCTTCTTGAAAGTACTTACCAGAGTTGTTAGTGTCTCCTGCCATTGTGTCGAGAGGAGAATAATCTGGAAAGGAAATGGCAACTTGTAAATGAATGGAGAAGACGTTAAGAAATAGGAAAAAAAAAATTCAGGCATAACCTCCCTCTCAATGCTGTCCAGTGTTACTCACTGTTAACAAACAAACTCTTCGTGTCTAGTTTGTAGCTAGATCCTAGCTCGGTGAGTCCATTGGTCAGCTGTTTGAACTCCTCGTACACATCTTCTTTTCTGAAGGTCCTCGTGTAAGGGTCCAGTGTAAATACGCAGGTGGAATCGACCCCCGTGTAACTTTTCCCAGAGATGCGTCTGGAAAAGAAAAGCCATGGACCGCTATGGTTGGGAGATGAGCACAGCCGAGACCGTTGGGAGCGAATGCACTGAGCAAGACAGATGGGAAGTATGAAACTGGGGGAGGACTGTCATTGAAAGAGTGATGTAAAGGCCAGCTTTGAGATGTCTGAGCAATGTTTTATTAGCATTGGCCAGTTCTTACAATTCGCATAACATCTGCTTCTGGCAAAGAGGAAGGAACTCCTAACTCTAGCCTTCCATTATTTCAGCCATTCACTTACCTTGGGAGAAGGTAGTTTCCTGATAGACAAGTCAAACACCTGATTTAAAAATTTTTTTTTTTTATCATCACCCAAGATCGTAGAGAAGGATGAATGAGCATATTTTTGGCTGGGGCTGGTCAGCTTTCATTCTGATTTTGTGAAGCTACTTGAATTTGATTGCCAACATTAAGTGATTTAATTTTTGCTTTTGGGTTATTTGCAAGTGAAAATCATTTTTTTTTTTTCTTCTCAGAAAAAAGAGCACCTTTTGCTTTTGCAGAAGGATAGCAAATGAGTGAGCACAAATGCGATGGTTTTAGGGCCTCATATGAAACTTTCCTAGTTGCCTGTGTTAGTGCACTGAGGTTTTGGCTGTGGCAGACAAACCAATGGGGTTCCCCCCCAAAAAACGATAGGTTTCTGAATACAGTTTTCAGTAAATAATTAAGAAGAATTACCAGAAATGCTATTCTGTATGATACAATGCATAAGAGGGGACCTACCTAAAGTTTTGTACTGTACAACCAATGAAGTAGTTCTTTAGGGTGCTTTTTCTGAAAATGTCCTGAAGCTGAGGGAAGAAATAAAAAGATTATTGGAATCTGAACAAAATGATGAATCTATCAGGTTATCTTTAAACAGGACAAGGGAGTTGGTTTCCGCTGCCTTTAAAGTCAATGGCAAACCTCTGCGGGATCAGAATTAACTTTATCACGGACACGTAGACCTTTACCTCTTTTTCAATCCGCTGCTTGTTCAACTGATGCCTCAGTGAATTGGGATCATTCATTTCTGGTGAGTAGGGCAGGTTGGTGATGCTGAAGTTCAGCTTGAAATTTTCTTTTCCATATTTGCTTGGCAAGTTATAAGAACCAGTTATTGAGTCGGTGACTAAAACTGAGGAGAGAGAGCAGGAACACAATGCAGTAACGCAACATAATATAAACTTGTGAAGAAGTTTAATTAAAACTTGATATAACTAGGTCTAATATAAACTAGATGAAGACCTAATAGAGCAGAACTGCTTTGTGGGACAAGTCAGTTAAGGCTGGGGATTTTGAAAGACCCCCATGGAATTAGTTGAGTTTGAGTTTAATTAGTATTTGGGTGCTAAACCCCTTGGAAAACCCCAGCTTGACATCAGTAAAATCCATCCTCTCATTTATTTTGGAATGTGTCCATAAAAAGGATTTTATTAAAAAAATGTAAAGACATGTCTAACAATTAAAGACTGAATATGTCATTGCTGACCCTATGTGGCAGAGCGAGTCAAACTTGGTGCACCACAAATTAACACAGCCATTCTGGAAACTCATTGGCTCCATTCAAGGAAGTATGGAATTGAATTTGTGTTCTAAAAAGGACTTGGAAGTGGGGATTTTGGAATTTGTTTAGAGGATCTGGATTACGGGGGTGGGCATTCGGGATCTTAGTGTTAACATACCATCCACCGAGATGCCCTGCAGCTGGTAGCTGGCTCCCAGCCAGTTGGCAGTTGCATTCCTAGTTCCATCTTGAAATGCTCTTTCGACGACCGCATTGCTGATGTTGGGTGCCGGTTTGAAGAAACAATGACAGTCAACCACTACAGATCCAGTCCTGTGTGCAGAGAAATCAAGGCTCTCAAATAAATCTGCCTGAAGGTTGCAAAGACTCTTTCTCAAGCCCCCGGCAAATGGCCCAACTATGGAGGGTAATGACGTATTTGATCCATTCAATCCCATCCTTTGCTGAGATTGTCAGCAACAACGAAGACTGGGATGTTCACAGGAACCTAAGGGAGTCAGGTGCCCAAAGCTTTTGAAAATGGGAGCTGGACTCCTAAATCCCGTAGAAAATCTCAAACGAGATTGCCTGCTGGGAATAACCAGTTGTGTACAGGGAATTGGAGATGGGATCCCCTAATCCAGCCATGGCATACTTATGATTTTTGGTTCCCACCAAACTGGGGCAGCCTCAAACCAGTTAGCTAGAGGTAAGAGAGGCATAGACCCCCTGAACCAGACTGTTGGCAGTAGCAGCACCTGGGTGAGCAGAACCACGCTGCGTACATGCCCGGTCTTGGAGATTACTCAGCCTCTGCCTTCTCCATGGGTCTCACAACTTGAGTCCAGACAACCCAACTGAGTTCATTTACAGGATGGTTTCTGGGTTTAACTCCCAGTTATTTCTCAATTTAACTCCCAGTTATTTTAAACCCATGGCATATTTATGAGAGAGAAGAGGTAACGGCATGATTTGGGGAAGCCTTGAGGGTTTTTTTTCAGCGAAGGCATGAATCGAACAGAATTTCAAACATGAGATCCTAGAGGAAATTGGCCCTGAGCAAGGGAGCATGAAAACTGGGGAGTTTGGGGAGCAGCTGGGGTGTTTAATAACCAAGATTGGATTGTAATACAAACCTCAGGCCTGTGACATTGCAATACTGGAATTTATCTTGGACAGCGCTCTGATGGTACATGTTGTTAACCTGAAATAAAAATCCCACCATAGATATCACCATTAATGAGGGATGACCATGTACCTGAGGCTTGCGGGTAGTAGAAACTTGCAACTGATTTTATATTTGAAAGTTAGATATTGTAAGAGGTTTTTGGTTGGTTTTTGAAAATCCCTTTGAATTCTAAGAAGTTGACTTTAAGTTTAGCAGCTTCTCCAGGTAATCTTCTGGATCAGATTGTCTGGGGAATTTCCATCCTTGAACATTTTTAAGAGCAGGTTAGACAAACCCTTGTCTGGGTTGGTTAGATCAACGTTACTCAACCTGTGGGTCGTGACCCAAAAATGGGTCGGGAGAATAGATGAAAGGGTCACGAACTTTAAGTTTAAAAAATGGTTTCTCCTTATAGGAGAAAAATGTGGGAAACTGGCTTTTCCCTTGCAGGCTGGCAGAGTTTCAGCCTGCGAGGGGCTGCTTGGGGCCCCCGCATGCCCCACACACTGGGTGGGTGGGGGCAGCAGGTTGGGAGTGAGGGGCACTGGGTCAGGAGTGGTCATCTATGTTTACAAATGGGTCCTGGTACAAAAAGGTTGCGAACCACTGGGTTAGACGACCTCCTAAGCATCCTTCCAGCCCTACTTTTCCATGCTTCTCTCATCATAACTGAATGTACGGCCCTCGCCCAATGTGGAAGATCAGTTGATTTGACTGTATGATTGGCCATCTTGGCCAATGTACACCGTATTCTGTATAGGCAAATTGTGCTGCTAAAGACGTGAAATGTTGCTGCTTAAGCTAAACCATAAAGGCTCCCTAGTTGGGTCAGAAACAAATTTATATCCTCTTTGGATCTAGTGCAAGGCAAGGGATCAATGTACACGCTTTTACAAGCGAGTTAAATTTGCCCTGTATTCTTGAGTTTGGGAGCAATTTGTATCTATTCCTAAATTTGCCCCCTTACATAAAGCTGCCTTTAATGGATTGGCTCTACACAATCCATAGCTTCGGCAGGAGCTTACAATACTACAACAGCTTTGGTACCACATGGATATGAACAAATCATAAGACCTTTTGTATTATTTTATGATACACAGGGGAGCTATGGTGAGTGGCAACAGCAGAACTGGTCGAACTTTTTGTGAAATTAGAAATAATTAAAAAAAAAAACCAAAAAACAACCCCCACACCATTTTTGATCTTTCAAATTTTAACAATAGAAATTTGTCAAGAGTTTTTGTGAACGTTGCTGTGAAAATTTAATCAGAATACCCACCATCACTTCTAAAATGCAACCGCTCACCTTCTGTTGGATGTCTCTCAGCAGCTTCTGGTATTCTGAAGAAGCTGGGTCTGGGTTGGTTAGCTTTTCATTGATTATTTTAAAGCCGAGCTGGTAGCCCACAACGACTGGCATCGGGTTGTTGTTAGTAGCTGTTTCTGAGAGGTGGAAACCTAAATGGAAAAAAAAAGGGGGAGATGGGGTGGTCAAGTATGTTTGTCTTGAACAGCAGTTTTAGATGAATAACTAAAAGAAATATGACTTTGGCTTGTATTAATGCACAAAGAAAGACACACAAGCCTACTGCAGAACATTTCAACCTCCCTGGACACTTCATTGCTGACCTCAGTGTTGCTGTGATGGGGCAAAAAAAATAAAATAAAAAAAAGTTTGAATGGGAAACTGCAAAACAAGAAATCTTCTGCAAACTGGACAGTGTTAGGTATGATTTAAACAAGGCCCCTGGATTTTTATTTCATCACCTGGAATAGCTTCTGTGACTCCTTTATTCTATAGGTTTCCTGCTCATTTGCTTCTCTCTCCTAGCACTGTCCTCCTCCCTGCTCTCTCTCCCTCCCCCATTTGTCTTTTGTATTGTAATTGCTCTCTCCTCCTTATACTTTGCTTTCTGCGTGTCCTTTCACGCATCTGATGAAGAGAATTTGGATTCATGAAAGCATGCGCGCACTATATATGCATCTTATTTAGTTGGTCTATAGAGATGCATATCTACCCAGCCTTCTGACTGACTTCAGGCAGATGGGACAAACTACCCCTCTCTTTCCAGATGAATATAGCAGTGAGCTTTTTTTCATGTCTACTAGCTAAAAATCTTTGGTATTTTCAAATCTTTTTCCAGCATTTATTTTTAAATTAGAAGGTCTCTGCTTGTGGTATTTTTGGGGAATCTGTTCTCATATGTGTGATGAGACTACTTCAGTTGTGAGTGACTACCAGAAGAACAAAGCACCATCCAAGGCCCTTCTATTATTATTGTGTTGCAGAAGCACTGTCCTAAAAGACAACTGGTGGCATTTAGCCAGCATAACTGTGCGGTTGGAAATTGGACATTTGTTGTGTGTTTTCTGCAACCGAAAGTACTTATAAAGTGCATTAATTGACAAACTCCTTGGATGATAACTATACTTCTCACACACTATATTTACAGAAGCATGGCTGTGACTTTGAATGATGTATATATTTTAGTATTTAGGTTGCAGAAGTAGGGTGACATGGAGTTGCATCTGAACAAGAAGACTGCCAAGTGGCATGGGGGAGAAGTGTGTCACAGTTAATTGAAGAGTTAAAATGAAGAACCCAAGGAAATTGAGGTCATTTTTGCCTCACAAAGGTGAATGTACAAAATGAGCATACAGTACAATCCAACAGATTGTGAGATCACATTAAGTATTAAAGAAGGAAAAAACACAGCAGTTAAGGTCCTGCTTAGGCTATTTCTTTGGATATGGTAAAGTCCATAAGTAACAATGATCTGGGGATGTCTAGGAGCCGAATTGTTGAGCATGTGTTCTTTCTAAGACGGCCAGGAGAGCCTGGTGATATTAGAATTTCTCCCACGGTGAACATTTTACTAAATACGGAAACATTATAGTTTTTAAGAGACATCAATGACTGAAGTATAGAGTCCAAAGAGAAATATGAGAAATGAGGCGAGCTTAATTTAACTAATGGGACATGCAATTACACTCAGCCCTCTGGAGTCCTACAGAAGACACTGGAAGCCAATGAAGAGACTCCCAAGACAGCAGCAACCTGCCTGACTCCCTTGGACTTAATGCTGGGCCTGTGGAGCTCCCATAAACTAGAACCCATTGATTGAAGGGGAAGTTCATCACATGCTGTTGGAAATCTTGAATCTAGGGGTCATTAAATCAAATTATAGGCTCTAAATTACCCATGCGCAACTTCAGATGTTCTTGGCATATGCTTACCATCAACATAGAGGCTATTCTTCTCCAGGGTATAGATTCCTAACTTGGTGACACCCTTTGTCTTGCTCTTCAGCTCATGATAAATTTCTACTTTGTTGAACCTGGCAACCGAAGGGTTGTTTTTGTAGCTGCAGAGGGTATCTACACCCGTGTCATCACTGTTTCTAATGGACCTAGAAAATCAAAGAGGCTTCAGGACAATGATGACAAATTGCAGAATATCAACTATCATTTATGGTAGTGTGAAGGACAGGGAAATTTAGAAATCATTAGACACAATTGATCGTCAATCTTCATTTTACAGGATGCTGAACAATCACTGTCGCTGTATTATAAGGCTTTTTAATTCACAAAACAAGGAGCAAGATGAAGTCATTACGGTTTAACAACGTTGGAGGCTTATTTGCCATGCTTTGCAAGTTCAGTATTACCTTTATAAATAAAGAAGATAACTAGGAAGAACTAAATTATACAAATTTGTAGCCAGGTTCACAGCTGGGATGAGTATCTTGGTTTCAGTAAATAATGCATTGCTTTGCAACAGCTGGCAGGCTGGCCTAATTACAATGTCAAACAAAGGAGTAGGAGCACGCCCTCCACGTCAGGACTCTTACCTAAATGCCATCACTTTGCATCCTGTATAAATGGGCCCTATGCTGCTGTCTCTGAGCAGAGAGTCGATCTGTCAAAGAAAAAAATTCTTGAGTCTGTCACTCAGGGACCGGGAGCACCAATGGAGCCAATCAAGCAAACGAGGCTAGACGTAGCTCTGTTAGACTTACATAATATTTCATCACGCTCTGCGTGGAATTGAATTTCTGGGTGCCTGGTACCCCCAGGTCTGCAGTGTATCGGAGATTAGTTAAAGTGAGGTTGAGCGTGAAATGCCCAGCCGTTGGACTTTGTCGGGTAGTTAGACTCGGGTCTGCGATCAAGGAGAGAAAAGATTACAGTCAAAGCATCTAAAAAGTCATCTTTGCCCGCAAAAACACTCCGAGTCCTATCAGATCTCAAGACTAGAATAGTGCTCTGGAGAATGTCCCCCCCCCAGTGACCTCCAGCATTTGTCAATTTATTTGTATGAATTAATTTGGAAAAAGAAACACTTACATAATCCAGGCACTTCATTGTAACCTGGAAAGAAAAAAAGAAATGATCCTTAAGAATCGGAGCTCTTCACTAAGAGAAGGAAAAATGGGAATAACAAAAGAGATGGCACAGGAGTGAACCACTGGAAACGCTGACTACATCACTTTTGAAAAATGGTGAAATAGTCAAAAGTGCTCGTGCAATTTAGAAGCCAAACTCCAAAGAGATCAATGGTTTCCTAAATAATTTATTACTTGCTATAAATAAGTGTATTTATTGTAGATTAGATTTTATGTCATCTTACTCACTTTCCCTAAATAAGACCATAAAGTGACAAAGCGCTTCAGCGCATGCTTACATTTAAGCACATGCATTATGTCTTGAACCTCAGTGGGATGGCAGCTTTGCCTGAGATAAGCATATGCCTAAGAATCCTATGACCTGGGGCCTAAGGTCCAAGCAGGTTGTCTCTCGCACTTCCATGGATTTCATACCCCCTTCCACCTCCTGGGAATTCACCTTCTTCTAGGATTGTTTCCAGAGAGGGAAGAGAAATCTGCTGGCTTTGGAGCTCACAATTAAAGTACTTGGGAGTGGCTCAGATTGCCCATCTCCTTGCGCTATGAACTCTCCTCTCTCCCGTGTACTTTGGGGTTTACCCGTAGTCATTTCACACATGCTAAGCAAAGTGCTGGGAGAGCACCACAAGGAGGTGGAAGACAATCATTTGGTTACCATTGACATAGAGGCTGCGGTTATCCAGGGAGTAGTGTCCTAATTTGGTGATGTCCTTTGTCATGCTGCTCAGCTTACGATAAACTTTGACTCGGTCAAACTGGGGAGCTGCAGGGTCATTCCTGTAGCTGCAGGTGGCATCCACAGCAGTGTTATCCCTATTCTTCACCGGCCTGGGGAATCAGAAGAATCTGTTAATGATGTATGTGTTCAAAATGACTCCTATCTACTCGGGTGATACAGCATACGAGGCCGCTGTGGGCACTAGCTGGATCTATGAATACTGCAGTACAAAAATAAAGGAGGAAAGCAGCACTTTTCAATGTTAAGATGTCAGACAACTGAGATGAAATCTCTTTACTAGGGTGTAATAAATAGGGGTCTACCCAACTCAAGGATGGAGGCACCAAACACCTGGACTTGGTCTGACCTTTGGATTCTGTCTCAGTGACCTAAAGGGGGGATGGAAAGTCTGGGCAGCCTCCACTCCTCCAAAACTCCTACCTAGGCATATGGATCAACAGTCTGGTGACCTCTCATGCATACACCATAATCCAGTAGGATCAATGGTTGCCAAACAAACCCAACCTGTGGATGCAGGTGGCCCATTTTGTGGGCAGATTCTGGACCAGCTGCCATTTTTTAGGGCTTATCATGGTGTCCCCCTGACCTCTGATTGACCAAGAGGCTCCATTGGGCCCCCCCCCCCACCTCTCGCCACTGATTGGTTCCGCCAATTGGTGAGGAGGGGTAGGGCTGCATGATAGGCTGCCCTCTTAGCCAGTCCCACTGGGGATCCAGCCTTTATTTTCAGTAAGTTTGTTTTTCTTTCACAGAGTTTGCAGGCATTGCCCGATTTTTGTGGGCAGTGCCAGATTTTGGAATTTCTGCGATTTGAGTAAGCCCCTAGTATTACAGTTCACCTCCCAATGATACCGTTCTTACCGAAATGCATCCACTTTGCAGCCAAGGTAGTTGGGGCCAGTACTGTTGTTTTGGAGCAGGGGCTCGATCTGACAAAGAAAAGATTTCATGAGGCCATGTCATTGCAAGAAAGAGAGAACCAAACCATGAAGAAGAGGAGAACGCGACTTAGACTTACAAAATGACACATTATCTTCTCTGTGGTACTGAATTTGGGAGAACCAGGTCTCCCGAGATCTGGAGTGAATCGGAGATTGGTTATGGTGAAGTTCAGCGTGAACTGCTGTGTTGTTGGTGTTGGGCTTTGTGTAGTGGGTGGTTTGACAGCTGGAAGAGATAAGCAGAAAATCCCCAAGATAGAAAATGAGAAGGAAAGCTCCATAAAACACACATGAGAAGAATGCAGCTGAGGGAGAAAGTAAATTGCATGACTTAGACTATATGGCTCCCTAGATTCTGGTTCCATCAGAGCTTTCTGTAGGTACTGCAGATCCTTCAGGATGTCTGGATTAATCTGACTTTCACCACAACCAGTTTTTGCCAGCACCTGGATATCAATGCCCTTTCGGTGTTTTTACATGCATCTGTTCTTAAAGACTACTTACGTGGGGGTGTAGATAGTTCATTGTAACCTGGAAAGGAAAAGGAAAAGTTTATTAAGACTAAGCCGGAAGGAACAGAAACTGAAGGATCTGAAGGAAACCAAACTTTCCATATTATATTTTGGTCCTACTCCTAGAAACAGGTGTCTTTTCTATCATAAAAAGCCCTGACCTTGATTTTTCTCTCTCATCTAAAAGATGTGATTTCCTGCAGCCTGTGGTGGGGTATTGAGGATCTCCTTTCATGTCCCCAGTTCCTTGAATTTCAGCTTTCAGCATCCATTCTTTTTTAGTAAAGTACATAGCACATGCCGAAAGATGAGATACTTACGTTCAAATGACTTCAATAGGTCCAAAGCACATGCAATAGGTTAAGTCAGAATTAGAAGGAGCAGACAGACTTGACTATTTTTGTCCAATCTGGCTTCAGAAAGTGGTCTACAGCTGTGACCAAACACAAGTGCCTGGCTGCAGGCCACTTTAAAAGGGCCCGATCCTGCAACAATCTGAACCCTTATTGCAAGGGTTCAGATGAAGGCACTCCAAAATGGAGCGCCTTCATTAGTTTGTGTCTACGCATACCAGGAGTAGGGCTCAGCTGATGCAGCCCAGCTCTGCTCCTGGTGCTGTTTTCAAAATGGAAGGAGGGAAAGGGAAAGGAGGGAGGTCTGGTCTGGGGGTTCCCCAGATGTTCTGGAGTGGGGGGGAGGTAGATAGGAGCCCCCCTCTGAAGGTTGAGGACTTCAGTCCACCCATCCCCACCTCTAGCATGAACCCCCAGAAGAGACCTCCCTCTCCTGCCTTCTCCACCCATCTTGAGACAGCATCGGATCTGTGAGGCAGAGACAGAGCTAGGGGGAGAGAAGCTACAGAGATGCAGCCTCTCCCCCTGGACTGACTCTGAATTGGAGCCAACCCTCTATCCTCCTAACATGTGGTGGCTTGGGGAGAGTGGTCTAACTCATGGCGCTTTCTGCAAAGCACCGTGAGCTGGACTGGGGAGCTGCACTTCTGTTTGAGCCTAGAGGGCATTTTTACATGTGCTCCAAGGGTGCTTTAATTAGAGTGGCTCCAAGAGCTTCCCTAATTAAAGCATGCAGAGCATCCTGTGTATCGGCATCCCTGTGCTTCAAAACGGCGGCAGGGGCACTTTATCTAAAGATAAATTTAAATATTTATCCTAGCTGACTTCCTGCCCTTGGGGCAGGGGGCTGGACTTGATGATCTCCCGAGGTCCCTTTGAGCCCGAATGTCTATGAAATCTATTAAATCATTGAACAAGCTTTAGTTAAAGTGCCTCTGCCACCATTTTGAAGCTCAGGGATGCTGATACACGAGACGTGAAGGCTGGTTGGAGCATGCTAATTAGCATGTGCTGTAATTACAGCATGTTGGAGTAGCCTCCCAGCTCATGTACAGGCACCTAGAGTGCTGTGTTGGACAGGAATGGGTTTAAGGCTACGATGAATTCTTTTTAGAGCTGGGTTTTCATATAGCTCTCGCCTGAAAGAAAGAGTGCCATCAGTTGTGTCACCAACATGATTTTGTGCACCCCACAAGGGTCTGGAATGTCTTGAGTCCTTCCACTACATTTAGCAGGGTTACCACACATGGCTGCTTGCAGACATTAAAAAAACAAACCAAAACGGTGCTTTACTTTAAACTCTGCGCCCTGCGCTGAGCCCAACACATGCCCAGAACAGGCAGTGCATTGGTTGGGCTCGGCTCACCTGACATCTATATAAATCAGGTGCTTTACTGGTTCTTTTTTGGCATTTGTATCTAATAGCTGATTGAATCAGCTTTAGATAAAAGTGCCAAAAAGCCCCACTGAAGCGCCTGATCTATATTGAAGCTGTGGAGCCGGGTCAAAGTAACGTGCTGCTTCTGCTGGTAAAGCACTTTTCTTTTTTTAAATGTCTGCAGGCAGCCAAGGTGTTTTAATATCTATTTAATAATAACATTTTTTTTATCACTTTAGAAATCAGAAATATGACTTCTTTACTGGAATAATTTAGTTATTCATACAGCATGGACCCCATCATTGGGGAGGGTGGGGGTTGGTTTTGGGGGATATTTAACCTTTTCATGCCATTTTCAAGATGATCAATATTAAAATAAGACATCATTGACATTTTCTATGAAAGTGAATAAAAACTGCCTCATTACCATTGACGTAGAGGCTCTTGTGGTCCAGGGTGTAGAACCCTAACTTGGTGATGCCATTTGTCATGTTTCTTAGCTCACGGTAAACCTTCATTCTGTCAAACTTGGGAGCTGTGGGGTCATTTCTGTAGCTGAAGATGGCATCCACTCCTGTGTTATCCCTATTCTTCACTGACCTGGGGAATCAGAAAATTTACATTTGAATCCATCATTCATGTCTCTGTATTAATCTCTAGTGTAGGAATAGACATATTATCAGAGACGATGAAGGGTCCCAGAAATTAAAATTAACGTTCTGAATGACATCAATTAAGGCACATTGATGAAGTTATCCATTCCGAAAAGACAAATGTTTCAAAGCCTAGAGAAGTGACTGTGTTGAATATTAATGTATAGACCGGGAAGAGGAAGCAATTCTTTAGAAAAATAAGGAACCAAACCTTCCCGTAACATGCCTCTCACCTGAAAGCCACTACTTTGCATCCAATATAGTCTGTGCCAATGCTGCTCTTTTGGAGTAGAAGGCCAATCTGGTGAAGAACAATATTTATTGAGTATGTCATGTCAAAAGAGAGAGATCAGATGTATTACATGAACAGAGTCAAGCCAGGATGTGTGTGTCTGACTTACATAATGGCACATTATTTTTTCTGTAGAATTGAATTTGGGAGAACTTGGCTTCCCCAGATCCACAGTAAATCGGAGGTTGGTTAAAGTGAAGTTTAATGTTGAGTGTTCTGGTCTTGGTAATGGATTTTCTTTATCTGGGTTCACAGCTGGAAGGAAATTTAAGGAGATTTATTGTTTGAAAAAGTAAGTCCTGAATTTCCTCCTTAAAGGATGGAGTAGAAGTGGCATATACTGGCTTGTCAGGTGCCTTCAAGAATACAAAAATTACAGTCCCTTAAGAAGTGTGCCAGATGCTTCTGTCAGCATTATTTTATAAAAGCTGCAATATATCTGGACTAGTCCAAGCTTTTCCATAGCCTGTTAGTTAACAAGATGAAGTCCCCAACATTTTAATGTGCATTGATACTTTAAAGATACTTACGTGGTGCAGGATGTAGTTCATTATAACCTGGGAAAAAAGAGAATATTTGAGAGAGAGGACAAGGAATATTATCACTAAAACACAAAAATACTTTACTCTCTGTCACGGGAGAAATATTGGGTGGGCGTGTTAAAGAAGAGCACTCACTCGATAACTGGCTTGCTATAAATGTACATTAAGCAGGGGTGGGCAATTATTTTGGGCGGAGGGCCGCTTACTGGGTTTTGGCAAGCCATCAAGGGCCGCATGACAGGCAGCCAGGGGCAGATAAATATTAATTTTCTAATTTTTTTAGGGGCCCCAGAGGCTGTATAGAATGGCCTGGCAGGCCTCATCCGGCCCCCGGGCCGCATTTTGCCCACCCCTGGCCTACATCCTACATTATTTTGATTGCATAAATGGGATTTGTGCTCAGTGGTGCCTCATTTTCGTACTGGTCTTCTGACCAGCGATACTTTTCAGTAATCTGGAGTTTTGGAGCTATACAAGATTTCTGGGATAGGGTCATAGTCAGGCTTAGTGTTGATTCTGACCATTTATTAACCTCTCCCCCTGCCCAAAGTACAAGTAAAAGACTACATAGATCACAACTTTGGAAATCAAGCTACTTCTGATTGGCCGACACTTGCTGTCACGCTGCTGTTCAGATTTTCTTGCAATTGCTGCCGTGTTTTTAGAATTTCTTCATTCCCTCTCTCAACTCGTATCAAATCATGAGTAGAGGGCAAGTTTCATGGCAGTTCAAAGCAGATGTGCTACTTACCATTGACGTAGAGGCTATTGTTATCCAGCGTGTAGGGTCCTAGCTTGGTGCTGCCTCTTGTCATGTTGCTGAGCTCATGGTAAATCTTTACTGTGGCAAACTGGGAAGCTGTGGGATTGTGTCTGTAGGTACAGACAGCATCCATGCCAGTGTCATCATTATTCTTCACGGATCTAAGAAATCAGATACTTGTTTACAGCTTGGCAGATGTGAAGGGCAATTATGGGCATTAGTTTATTCACGTTCACTTAGACTATAGCTACTGTGTGATTGAATTTTCCTTACAATGTAGTAAAGCAATGTTAGAAGTACTTAATGAAATCATCTGCTTCCTGTAATGTAACATTCATGCGATGATATGCAACTAGGGCAATCATTTTGTGGCCCATGATTAATCTCCATTAAAACGTAAGTCAAAGTCAGATTCTTCTCCCATTTATCTTGGTGCAAACTTCTGTTGACTTCAGTGGAGTTTCACCCAAGTAATGAGGACTAGGCTTGGATTGGTGAAGACTCAGTGGGCCCATCTACACGAGACTATGTTGCTGTAGCGACAAGCTACATTGTGTAGCTCGTAGCATTGGTGGGCACTAACTGGGACACCGCCACTATTGCGCAGTAACTCATTGCTACTGCACGGTAGGGTGGAAAGTGGCCCATGCACCTAGGGTGGCCATCATAGAGGACATGCTGGTTTTCTGCTACTTTGTCCTCTATAGATACGAAACTGGACACCTTTATGTCCTCTATTTTTCTCTTGAAGAGAGGACATAAAGGCGTCTGGTTTCGTACCAATAGAAGACAACCGGATTGTCCTCTATGATGGCCACCCTACATGCACCACCAGGACCGTGCAGTACCACTGCGCAGTCAGGGACACGTGTAGATGCGCCCAGTAAGTTCAATGTGCATTTGTTTTCAAACACACAAGGTCTGATTTTCCTCTTTGTCTCATGGGACATAAATTCAGAGTAAGTAGGATTATTGCAGGGTAAACTCAGTGTAAGCAAGATCAGAAGAAGATCCTCTGTATGGAAAGCAACTTTGGGGGATGCTATGCATCTTAAATTTATTTGTGGCCAAAATTAATTGCTACTAATTTTACAAAGCACGGCCAAGAGTGTTGGATTATTTAAATAGTAAGGAAATATCTCTACATATGTCTGTTAGCCAACAAGTCTCTAATGCCTTATGTAACAAAATTAATTTCTTAAGCATGTGATGCCTACCTTAATGCTACTACTGTACATCCAGTGTGGGTAGGGCCAATACTGCTGTTTTTGAGCAGAAGGTCAAGCTGCCAACAAGGATTTGATTGAGAAGTCAAAAGAAATAAAACAAAATACTGAACATACTGTAATGAAATAGAGGGGTGTGATTCAACAGGGCTTACCATGTGGGCCAGAGTGTTTCTAGTAGCATTGTATTTGCTAGAACTGGGGTTTTGAAATTCTGAACTGTAAAGGAGATTGGTGATGGTGAAGTTCACCGTGAAACGTTCATCTTTTACAGGAATTGGAATTGTAGCCGGCCTGACTGCTGCAAAAAGGAAAAGCATAAAGCCAGTCATAACTAGAAAGCAAATAATGACATGCTTGCTACAGCAATGATGCATTAAGATAGCACTTCGCTACTGGAATGGATATGCTCAACATTGAATGGTAGTCTTTCATGGCTATGAATGTTGTTGGGGTGGAGGGCAAGGGAGCAGAAGAGTGAAGTCATCTGACATATGTATCCAGGTATATGAATTTGAGCGTCAAACCAAACTGGCGCTTAGACCTGCTACGAGTTGATCCAGCTGTGAATGGGTACCTGAGCATTTGGACTAGGGATTCCAGGTCAGCCAAATGTGAAGCCAGCGGCATCGCTAGCCATAAAAGCTCATGTGCTGTTACCACGCTGGCCTGATGTTCCACTTTACAGCAGGATAGACATTTGACCCTTTATTCATTTATTTAGCAATACTGGTGTCGAAGGAGATTGAATTGCAGTGCAACACCAATGCAGCGATTTAGTGGTACTTAAATGTTGTAGCCTCCTGTTGGACTTCTCTAGAGAAGGGAATGTTAAACACGTGAATTAGGGTTTCTTGGGTCCCAAGCAAGGATTGTCACTAAATGTGAACTTTCTAAAGTTTAAACATTTTCACTGCCTTTATGCAAGAGGGTAAGGATTTTTGTGGCAAAATGATCACCCACAAAAATCCTTCCCTCTCACAGATTTCATGGTCCATCATGGCTACAGCATCACTCCTTTACTGCCTTTAATAAGATTTGATGCGTAAGGATACTTACTTGACACAACGGGTGGTTCGTTATAACCTGGAAAATAAATGAATAAAAATTTATAAAGACATCTAGGAACCTGGAGAATGAAGCTGTGATGTCAGAAATGAGGTGTGGCTGAACCTCTCTTAAATAAGTGAGCTAAAAACAAGAAGTTTATCACATAGCCACAGGGCTTCAGTCCATGGTCCACTCTTGAGACCATGCCCAGATGTCAGCATATTCAGATACTGTTTCTATTCAATCCCATCTCTCTGTATTTGATATTTATTCTATCATATATTCTACCAGAGGTATTTTGGTTAAAAATATAGGCCACATTTTGAAAATACTGACCAAAAACATTGAAAATAGTCCTAATTAGAGTCAGGCCATGAAGATTTTACTGCTTTTCAGTCTAATACTGTCTCATGCCTCTTGGATAACTGGTTTGTTATACAGAAAGCTAACAGCTGCTGGATAACAGCTAAGGGATAAAGCCCCGGCAGATGTGTGAGTTAATTGGATGGCAAGGGTACACATTAGCAGGGTGCACAGAGGATAGGAAAGGGCTGCATGAATAACGTGAATGGTATCTCTTCAATTCAAATTGCTTATATTGCAACGTGTTAAATTGTGTTTCCAGTTCCTAATATTGTATGTATGTCGGCAATAAAAACCAGTGGGTCATTCATTATTACCATTGACATAGAGGCTGGTGTTGTTCAGGTTGTAAGGACCTAATCTGGTGATGCCCTTTGTCTTGTTGCTCAGCTCCTGATAAACCTTCACTCTGTCAAACTTGAGGCTTGTAGAGTCGCGTCTGTAGGTGCAGACAGCATCTACGTGGATATTGTTCCTAGCCCTGTGAAAAATGGAGACAACGGCACATTTGTTCTTGAATTAAGAAACCTGCATATGTATCTACACATTTATGAACTCAGAAAATCAGAAATGTCAACTTAGAAAATGATAAAACATATCTCAATCTCTGCTTCATTCCTCTGCCTACTTTTAGGGACAAAGATGCCCTCATGGACCAGTCACCTAGTCTAACCCTCAATACCCCATAGACCAGAAGTTAACTTCTGGAACCATCAGACATCAGTAATGGGCAAATACACATCTCTTTTCAGAAAAATAATAACCTACAGAAATATTTATTCCCCCTCAAACTAACATAAACACTGATAATACATCAATTATCTATCTTGCATGACACATTTGGTGTGACATTGTTAGAGTGCCTCACAATTAGTAATGAATATATCCTCACAGCCCACTTGGGCAGTACTGCTATCTCAATTATTCAGCTGTAGGGCATGTGACTGGTGAGAGACACATGACTGATGGTAACGATAATTAACTCACTAATGACTCCCAGGAAGATGCCATGTGTCCGGTTGCACACTTAATGGTAAGCTCGCACTGCCAAACTGGGGTGGTGTGGGGTCATTCTGGTAGGTGCAGACAGCATCCACCCCAGTGTTGTCCCTGCCCTTCATGGGTCTGCCAAAGCAGAGAGACCAGCGAAACTTATGTGCTCTCTAGCTGTTCAGGACAGATTCCCTTTGTCCCTAGTGCCCTACCATTTTCCTCCTCATCACATCAGCATGGACCTGTCAACTTTCATTTTGGAAATGTAAACTGAACTGGCTCGGTGCCTCCCTATATTGTGTCAGAAGACAGCATGAGCTGACTCTGCAAGGCCCTTGACCCATGCAGTTGCAAAGACTTGGCTTAATCTGACAAGAGTTAATCCTTGGCACAGACAGAGTGGTACGGTGTACAGGTTCTGATGCACAAAGGACGCACTTTGGCCCCATCACAGCGCCAAAAAGGAGTTCAGCGAGCACACCTTGACCACAGTGAAGAGGGCACCTACCCAGTCCCAAGGTCTCGCCTGAAAGCCGTCACCCGACAGCTCGTGTAAGCAGGGCCAATGCTGCTCTCCCGGAAGATGGGGTCAAGCTGCCAAGAGGAGGATGGTATTAGTGAGGGGTCCTGCGAGGTGGGCCAAAATGACTGTGGCCCCTAGGGCTTGTCCTGAGGAAGGGTGCAGCTACTTTCCCTTACCAAATGGGTTAGGATTCTCTCCGTAGCATTGAATTTTTGGGAATGGGGAGTCCCGAGCGTTGAGGTGTACTGGAGGTTGGTTATGGTGAAGTTCACCGTGAAGTGTTCGACCGCTGCAGCCAACGTTGTAGTAGGCAGCGTAGCTGGAAAGCAAAAGTGAATAACCATTCAATTGTAACATGCAGTCTGTCCCCAGAGGAGATGGCCCCATCATGGGAAGAGGTGTCCCATTCTGTAGGGTCAAGGATGTGCTGCGGGCAATGGGCTTTTGTGTTGACATCAGGAGATGGGAGACCCTTCTCAGGAGCAGGCCCATTTACTTGGGTACCTGGACAGCAGAGGTCCAGACAAAGCCATACATCCCCCACCATCTTGGGCCCCAGCTGTGGGACTGTGTGGCTTCCCAGAGTCTGTGTTTGAATGACAGTCAGTGTTAACATATACTCACTTGGAAGAGCTGGTGCTTCGTTATAGCCTGCAATGGGAAAGGGAAATCATGAGAAGAGTCTAGAGAGGCACAGGAGCAAAAGAGGGACAAATGAAGAGCAAGACTTGCAAGGTGAGCTTCTATTCTGTGCTGACTTCCTTTTCTCTGGATGTTCATAGCCCGTTGGGTACATGCAGGGAAACGGTGTGTGGATTTATGCAGATGATCCTACCGACAGCATGAGCCCAGTGCTACAAAATGTGCTGCCTACCATTGATGTAGAGGGTGCCCTTGTCCAGGGTGTAGGGGCCCAGCTGGGTGACGCCATTTGTCCTGTTGCGCACTTCATGGTAAACACGCACTCTGTCAAACAGGGGCCTGGTGGAGTCGCTTCGGTAGGTGCAGGCAGCATCCACCCTGGTGTTGCCCCCGTCCCTCACGAGTCTGCAAAAGCCAAGAGCCCAGATGATATTTTGCACTCAGACAGCTCTCCAGCACAGATTCCTTCTCTCCCTAGTTTCCTAGCATTTTCTGCATCACGTCGGCATGAACATGCCAACTTTCATTTTGGAAATGTAAATCGCACTCGCTTCCTGCCTCCTTGCAGTGTGTCCCAAGGGAACATGAGCTGACTCTGCAAGGCCCTTGACCCATGCGATTTGAAAGGCTTGGACCTGTTTCACAGGTGTTAATCCTAGGCCCAGAGCGAGCAGTAAGGTGTAGGGCAGGGGCAGGCAATTATTTTGGGGGGAGGGCCACTTAACAAGGTTTGGTGAGCTTTGAAGGGCCACATGGGTAGCCCCATCCCTTGATGGTTGCCCTGCCCCCTGGTCACCATCTTGGGACCTGAAGACACACCCCTAACCCTAGACCCCAGAAATACTTGTTTTGGCAGGAGGGGTTGCCATCTTAGAACTAGAAAAAAACAAAATCATATGCTAAAATTCAAACGCCTACTGTAGCATATTCTAATTTTCCTAAAAAAAATTATTTTTGTCATCATTTGTGTTTGTATAGTGTATATAGAGGTGATTGCATAAGGACTCAAAATAAATTCTTAGTCTTGTATATAGTGTGGTGGGGGTATGGCTGGGAGTGTGAGAGTGTATCGTGATGTGTGGGGGGGTGCGTATGGTGAGTGGATGTGTGTGTGTGTGTGTGTTTATATGCTGGAAGTGGGTTGGGTGTGTGTAGTGGGATGTGGGACTGTGTGGCTATGTTGTCGGGTATGTTGTCGGTTATGTACATGTGGGTGGTTGTGGGGGCAGGGTGTGGGTATGTGGCATTTGTGCGGTACCACACACCCATACCCTAAAATCAAACACCTACTATAACATATTTTAATTGTATTACAAAAAATATTTTTGTCATGGATTGCATTAGTGTCCTGTCTATAGAGGAAATTGTATAACGACTCAAGATTAATTCTTAGTCTGTATATAGTGTGGGGGGTGTGGGTGTGTGTGGATGGTGGCGTATAGGGGGTGTATGGTGAGTGTGTCTGTGTATGGTGGGGGTTGGTGTGTGTGTATGGTGGGTTGTGTAGCCAGGTGTGTGGGGGGATAGGCTATGTTGGGGGTTATGTATATGTGTGGGGTTGTGGGGGCAGGGTGTGGGTGTGTTGTATTTGTAGGGTGTGTGGGAAAGTGGGAGGGGTGTGGGGGCCCAGCCCCACAGCTGTTGCATGGCGGGGGCATGGCTCCAGCCAGTGCAGCACATCCCATCAAGGAGCGCACCCCCGCCGGCTGTCCATATCACCAGCGCTCCCCACACTGGTGAGACACAGGGGAGAAGCCCCAGGCACTGGAGCCAGCTGGGGTGGGGAAGGCAGCCGGCTCCAGAGCATGGGGCTTCCCTCCCCGGCAGCACGAGCGTGGGGAGCACCCACTATACAGACAGCCGGCAGGGGCTGCACTGCTTTCTGCAGTGTGTGGCCCTGCTGTCGCTCCCTACTAGGGCTGCACACCATGGGGAGAGTGTGTGGGGTGGGGTTCCTCACATCCCCAACTCTCTCTCACACCCACACACGAGCTACCCTGGCTCTGCGCTGCCGCCACACCCCTGGGTGTGGACTCTGGCTGCCGTCAGTCCCACGCTCCCACCCAGCTGCAGCCCCACTCCCACCCCTAATGTTTCCCTACTTGCTCCCTGAAGCCAGTGGGTTGGGGGAAGCCTGAAGCACTGGCAACAGCTGCTGCTGAATGGGCAGGGCCCTTCCGCCCATGAGGGTGGGGGCGAGGTGCCATAGGGTATGTTGTGGGGGCTGTATGCATGAGTGCCTCACTCCCACCCAAGTAGGCAGAAGGCCTGGGTGAGGTACAATTCATTGGTTGGCACCACGGGCTTCATGAAAGTGCCTGGCAGGCCGGATTTGGCCCATGAGCTGTAATTTGCCCAACGCTGAGGTAGAGGTTGTGATGCATAAAGGATGCGCTTTGGCCCCATCGCAGTGCCAAAGAGGAAAACAGTGAGTGTGCCTCTGGACCACACTGAAGAGGGCACCTACCCAGCTCCAAGCTCTCACCTGTAAGCTGTTACCCGACAGCCCATGTAAGCGGGGCCGATGCTGCTCTCCCGGAAGATGGGATCAAGCTGCCAAGAAGAGGATGGCATTAGTGAGGGTCCTGCGAGGTGGGCCATAATGACTGTGGCCCCCAGGGCTTGTCCCGGGAAAGGTTGCAGCTACTTTCCCTTACCAAATGGGTCAGGATTATTTCCGTAGCATTGAATTTTTGGGAATGGGGAGTCCCGAGCGTTGAGGTGTACTGGAGGTTGGTTATGGTGAAGTTCACCGTGAAGTGTTCGACCGCTGCAGCCAACGTTGTAGTAGGCAGCGTAGCTGGAAAGCAAAAGTGAATAACCATTCAATTGTAACATGCAGTCTGTCCCCGGAGGAGATGGCCCCCCTCTCCTCGCCCCCCAATCATGGGAAGATATGTCCCATTCTGCAGGATCAAGGATGTGTCTTGGGCAATGGGCTTTTGTGTTGACATCAGGAGCTGGGAGCCCCTTCTCAGTTCACTCAGTTACCAGGACTGCAGAGGTTTCCTGAAATCCATATACCCCCCTCTCCCCACTTGTTTGGGGCCCATTTGTGGAGCTGTGTGGCTTCCCAGGGTCTGTGTTTGAAGGATAGTTAATAATGACATATACTCACTTGGCAGAGCTGGTGCTTCGTTATAGCCTGCAATGGGAAAATTAAATAGTTAGCGGGATCTAAAGAAGCACAAGGGAAGAGCAAGGTTGGCTGCCCAAGCTCTCATCATGAGTTCCCTGTTGCAGTGTGTCCTCATTAGCAATGGGGCTGTTGGAGGATCCTTCACGGTAGGTGAAGGCTATTCGATCATAGAGTGAATAAGGGTACATGTTTGGGTGTTGCTTTAGTACAACCACTCTGATAAGCTGTAGGCAACTTTTCCTGCCACGGTAATGATGCCCAATGTGGGGCTCCATGCTGGGGTGGTGGCAGTGCTCTCCAAGTGAAGTCCTGCAGTTCAGGATGTGGGCCGAGCTGTGAACAAGAGCTTTTCTAGGGCTGGGGCATGACCTGCCAATGAGTTGCATGTGGAGTTATCTCGTCCATTTAGGGGGTTCATGGGTTGGCTGGTGCCTGTGGAAGCCCTTGCTCCTCCCACCTACACAGTAGCTGTGGCCCACAATCAGCCGCTAGGGGTATGTGGGGGAAGGTTGGATTGTGGTGGCTGTGGCTCACTGGAGTTCAGCATTGTTTCTCCTTGCAGGAAGGGTAGGCTCTTGCAGACTAAATCTGATCAGGACTGTGGTGTACAGAGCCTGAGGCATGCAAAGCCATTGTGTGCTGCCCAAAGTGTGCTTGGAGGTCTAGGAAGGGTGCCTGCATGCGGTGGGAGCTGCCTTTCCTTTCCCCGAGCGCTGCAGGAGAGGTGCCAGCAGTGTGCTCCCTGCGGGCAATGTGAGCTTTTGTTCTGCACTGGCTTTGTTTTG